AGCGTACAATCATTACAAAAGTTATAAATTGGGATTCCTTTGGGAATAACTTAAGAATGTGGTGTAATTACGACAAGAAGTAAACTTTAGGGTATTTTTAATGGTTTACTCTAGAATATCAGATAAAGTTGATTACTTGAGGGATTTGAGGGAGAGATATCAAGAGCATTATTTCCTAATATCAAGTCTAAGTTATTATTTATTGTTTGGCCATTTATCTATATACTATTGCTCTAGTGCTCAAATAGAGTAGGTGTCTATAGTACCCTAAATCCAACTTTCTCCTCCTACCATTCTGAACTTTAATTTTAGTTATAATAACATCTTAATTTCAAATTATACCTAATATTAATAAATTAAATATTTTTTTCGTTGGACTTGCATGGTGAAGTTAATCAAAAATTCACTGTTGTTAACTAATATTGGTTATAAAGTTTTTTTTTTAATCCACAAAAAGCCAAGTAAAATAATAAATTGAGTTAGTTATAAGTATATAATATTAGTTTAGGTTTTTGTTTAGTGTTTTTGAAGCATGAAATTTTAGGTAAAGTTTATTAAAATTATAGATCTCTTATAAAGATAACTTTTATTCATTATGATATACTTTTATTCATTATGATATAATTTTATTTTTAGAGAACCATTATTTATTGTCAATATTATATAAATAAATAAAACATATTTTATTTTAAAATGAATATATTATTTTTATTTATTAATATCAGATATAAATTGAAAATAGAATGTATCGTAACTAAAATTGAAATTAAAAATAAAAAAGATAAAAAAATTAAATTTAAAATACAATTAAAATTGTCCGTAAAATTCGAGATTTTCTTTTTTTTTTTTTTTTTGACATTTCGAGATTTTCTTAATGACTTACGCCACGTTATCGTATAAAACGGAAAAACGGCATTAAAACTCATTCGCTATAATTCCACGCGACAACTTGTTGGCAAGCGAATTTTGTGCAAGTAAACTCCAAATGCTTCCTTCATCGCAATTAAAAGGGTAACGGTGGCCAAGTCCGAGCCGCCCACCAACACCCTAACTCAACCCCTTTGCTCGTTGCCATTAATAATGACCATTAAACAGTAAACTAGAAAACATCATCACAAAAGTGCGAGTGGAGGCTACGTGTCAATTACCAGACCCCATTCTTCTTTCATGAAGCTCGTGGACACGTTTCCAACAATGCGGCCTACTCATACCACACTTTTTCGCTTCAAGACAAAATTAAATGTATAAACAAAGAATCCCACAAAGAATTAAAATTTGTCAAATCCATGAAAAAGAAAAAAAAAAAAAAAGAAATAACGACAAAGTCGTAATATCTAATATCTTTTATTTATTTTAAAAAATATTATGATAATTCAGGATGTGATAAATATTATTTTGGATAAGAGGATAAGTGGTTACAATATGTCATTTTGAAGCTAAATATTGATTCATGTGAGCTCTTAAATAATTTGAATATTATTTTTTTGACCCCATTAACTTTGAAATAACTATTAATAAAATTTTTGAATCAATTTTTTTACTAATTATTTTATTTATGGTTATTTGAAACTTATAAAATTTACTAAATATTGTTTAATAAAATTTAATTATTATTTTTTATTTTATTTTATTTGAATGGTTATTTGGGAAACTTATAAAATTTACTAGATAATTTGGTTTAATTAAATATTAATTATTTATTTTTTTATTTATGATAGATACGGAATAAAATAATATATTCACCTTTAAAAATAAAAAAAAATATATAAATTATATTTCATATTATATAAAGAACAATTATAAAATAATTATATCTTTAACAATTATTTTTTATTTTAATAGCAACTGCTATTAAACTTTTGTCAAACACGACATTTAACATTAATGTTTATCAACTTATTGCTATTAGCCATCCATCAGCTATTAGCTATCTATTGGTATAAATAGCTATATTAGAAATTTTAATGCGAATTAAGTGTGATTTAATTAGACTTTTTATTTATAGAAGGGGTAAAAGATTCTGAGTTCGACTAATTTAATAAGATAAATAAAAACTAGCCACGTTAAATGATCCATAGAATTATTTGGTTTTGTTAGCCTAAACCGTTAATATGTAGCTCTTTGATTGTCATGGTTGGTTATCAACTGTCAAGTTTTCACTATCAACGTCAAAGTAGATTTGTTTATGAATTATTAATTTGATTTGGATTGTTTAACATTATAAGCCTTGTTCTTGTTCTTTAGTTCCTAGATATAACAACCATAATTTTCCTTTTCCGATTCTAATAAAATTATTTAATAATATAAATATATTCAGAAAATTAAATATTTCCTTCAAGGAAGAGTTACTATGTACTATATTAAAAAAAAAAAAAAAAAAAAAAAAAAAAATGAAAAAAAAAAAAAAAAAAAAAAAAGAAGCTAACGGTTTATATAAAATTAATTGAAAAGTGTTAAAAAAAAAAAAAAAAAAAAAAAAAAAAAGAAGCTAACTTATATAATTAATTGAAAGGTGTGAATTTGCCAGCACTTGTTGCACAGAACCATCCACTGAGTACTATTGGTATCTTTGGGTCCCATCTCCACCACCAAATTCTCTATCCCCCGCTTTATACTAATGCGATCCATTGTTAGCTTTAACTGTTCAGTAAGAGCTTGCCACGTGGACAGAATCGGATAGTCTTACTTCTTTTACGTTTGATAACGTTATCTTCCACTGATTGGGTGTTGAGCCCACGTGTCCTTCGGATATCCATTTATTTATGCATTGCTCCTGGACACCCCGTCCTCGCCCGGTCTTCCGGGTCAATTACCTGCCCACCCGCTATTCATTAAAGAGCCTTTACTTTTTATCCTCAAAACAAAAAAGAGTTCCCTTCACTTTGATATGGTCAAAATTATCGATTAGAATTAAGAATTTAAAATTATTAAAATAAAAGGAAAGGATAATTATAGATAGACATTTTTGTGAGTTTTCTAATAAATTTCTTTGATGCACCTATAATAATTATAATAGATAATAACTATAATAATTATTTTTCTAAGAATTATAAGTATTTACTTAGATTTAAAGATCAAATCAATAAATAAAAAAAAAGTTCTCTGCAATATTATTATGCCTGAGCTTGCTTTTAAATCGAGCAATTTCATAATTGATAATATATAATAATTAAATATATAAAAAATAATATTTAACTCTTGAATAAACTCTAATTAATATAAAATCGTTGATTTTTAAAAATAATTTGTTGACTTAGACTTTTAAGTTCAAATTTTTATCAATCATACTTAATAGCAAATCTCCAACTATTTTATGCGTTGTTTGGATGAATGTAAAATAAAAATGGATGTAAAATATAAAGGAAAATTATCTTAAAATTTTTAAAATCTCTTATTTGGTTCGAATGAAAATGTTAAGATGGTGTAAAATAATCTAACATTATTTTCACTCCATTTTGAAAGAAAAATAAATAGCAAGATATTACACCCTTATTTTAATTCCTCTCTCTTTCTAAACACAGGATTAAACAAAACACTCCATTATTGTTCTTTTTATTTTTCTTATTACTTTATTAGACTCTCTTCGTCTCAAAATATAAATCGTTTAAAGTTTTTGTACAGAGATCAATGAAGTAATTAATTTTGTTAAATTTTAACAAAATTAAGAGTAATTTGACCAATTTATTCTTTTATCTCAAAACTAATAGTAATTTATGAAAATAGTTTATCTAATGTAAATAAAGCTAATATTAGAAAAATATAATTTATTACCCTCTTAAATATTAAAAATAACTTATATTTTAAGATAAAATAATACTCAAAAACGAATTATATTTTAAATAGAGAGAATATTATTTAATTAATGTTTAATTACATATTATTAAAATAATTGAGTTTGTATTTCCAACAATATAATAATTGAATTTGTAGGGGATTGTGGTTTAAATTTTTATGTCCTTCCTCTTTTGTATAAAATTTAAAAATTATTAGTTTTTATTTTGAAATAATATATAAATATGTCCAGGTTCAGACAACTCGAGATATTTCCCCATTCATGAAAACATTGCAGATAGACAAAAACAAAGAAAAATTAACCTTATAAAAATGTTAAAGAAAGAAAAATTAACCTTATAATTTTTATAACATGGCAACTTATTTGGTGACAAATTGCTGGACTATTTGCCAAGTAACGAGTTGTTGACGTGAAATTAACCTAAATCTCCGTTATGTCCTCCATTTATTGCATTCCACCTACCTACTTCTCTTTCTTCTAAAGGAAGGACATAACGGCGATTCAGGTCAATTCCACGCCTGCAACAAGTTACTTGGCAAATAATTTAGCAATTTATTTAGAAATAAATTGCTACGTCATAAAAATTGGGTTCCATAAGTACATATTCATTGTTTATGTTTATCACATCATCCGAAAAACCTAATTGCAAAGTTTTATAAATTCATATATTCAATGGTTACCGTCTTTTAGACGTCAGCATAGAAAAAAAAAGGTGAAAAATGAGACATTAAAAATGTAATTATCCTAAAAAAAAAAGTCATAAATTTAACTACAACTCACATAGTTAATTTAACTAAAAATGACTTAAAAAATTATAAAAATAATTATTATATTTAATATAAATAAAAATAAAATTGAAAAGAAATAAAACTACTTTGAAGTGACAGATATTTACGAACCGAATGTTATTCAATTTCTTTATTAAATTGTTATAGGTAAAACTAATTATATAGTATAATAAAAACAAAATCAAGGGAATGTACAAGCAATTAACTGACAAAAGTGAATAGAAATGGTACAACAGAGATCAAACTGAAGAGTTATAAAATTGCATTTAAAAGATAATAACTTGATTAGTGTATTTCAGTATAGTTGGAAAATTAAATAATAATTTTTATGAAATATTTATTTATTACAATAAAAAACGTATTATTATAAAGAACTAAAACAAAATATATATATAAAAAAAAACGTTTCAAGAGTGTGGAAGATTGGAGAGTTTAGTGGCCGTTAGTTCTTTTCCATGTTTGTTTTATTATCTTTGTACAATTTAAAATTTTGGCTTCATTCATTGGAAACTCCTACGAGTGGTTCTAAACAACAAAAGGTTTGCATCTTTCTTTTTTATTTTTTTTTCTTGGCTGTATAAATTTTAGTGCTCCTTTAACTTTTTGTATATTCCATTTGTTTATTTCTTTTTCCTCGTAATTTTATTATTATTTTTCTGGAATATACAGAAAGGTGCGAACCCATTGTTATTGTTAAGCTTATCAACTCCATTTCTGTAGAAACAGAAAGCGTATGATAAGGTAGTGACTGACTTTTCTTAAGTTTGTTTTCTGGTTTTTGGGTAATGTTATCTAAAGTTTGTTTCCTAATCATGGGGACTGTTACCTAAAGTTTGTTCCTAATAGAGATCCCATTATGTGACTCATTGATTTAGGTTCTTGCTCTCTCTTTTCACTATAACCATTATTTTTATTTTTCTTTTGTACTAACGCTGGTTTTTGGTTCATTTACAGATAACTCAAGCGGAGTGTTTTTTCAGTGTTTCTCCTTTTTGGGTTGGCTTTTCCTGCATCTTTGCGTTAAAAGGCCAAGTGGGTTATTTTCAAGGGAGAAAAAGAATTGATTTTTTAAAAATTTTTTTGTGCTGAATTAAGATTATTGAAGGAGGGAAATTTGCATAGACAAGGTAAACAAAGAAAGAAAGAAAAAAATAAAAAAATAAAAATAAAAATCTGGTTTTGAACATGACCGTCGCATTACTATGGGTTGCAACACCAAGTACAGAGGCTTCCAATTCATTTGGGTTTCTCCATTCGGTTCGGGTCTTAGATTCGTCGAAAGTTGGTTCTCTAGATCGGAATTTGACGTTTAAGGGAAGAGCAAAAAAGGGTAGGAGTCAAAAATGGAAGTCAAGCTCAGTTAATATAGATTTGAGGAATCCTTGTATAGGTAGTGGAAGCGAATTCCCTGTATTAGCAAGTATGATTGCCAGTCCAGCTGGAGAAATGGCTATCTCGTCAGAGGAGAAGGTATACAATGTGGTGATGAAGCAGGCAGCTTTGGTTAAAAAGCAATTAAGGTCTAATCAAGATCTTGATGTGAAACCAGATATTGTTCTTCCAGGAAATCTGAGTTTGTTGAGTGAAGCTTACGATAGATGTGGAGAAGTTTGTGCTGAGTATGCAAAAACATTTTACTTGGGTTAGCCTTCTTTCAAAAAAATTAATTACCTGGAATTTGTTCAAAAATGGAGATTGTGTTTTGATTTGCTTTTTCCGCTTTTGGTTTTGGTCTCTTAGGAACTTTGCTGATGACTTCTGAAAGAAGAAGAGCTATCTGGGCAATATATGGTGAGTTGCATGTTTGTTTATTCTAATACATGCTATTTTATATTAATTGGAACAATTAAAGATATTATTATTTGTGAGATAGAGTTGAGAAGTTGGATGGGATGATTTTAAAACGAGGGAGTATTTTGCAGTATAAATCTTTTAATTAGCTTTTGGAATGTTGATTCACTCTTGAACTAAGTAATTTTAATTTTCCTTGAACTAGTAATGCCTTTTAACATAATTCATATTGTTAATCTAAATCATAAGGATAGTTCCTCTGATTTTTGGGAATATGAAACCTTTAGTCCCTCTATGCCTGAGCAATTTGATGAATTTAAATTAATTTGTCAAACATGAACTTGAATTTTTTGAGAGCAATTGTGATGTAGAAATGTTATCTTTGTTTTGATCTAAAATTGGAAACATTACAAATTAGTAATGTATCAATTTTGGTAATTCTTACAATCATTTTCCTTGGTGATTGTGTTACCAAAATTTCGTTGTATAATCCAGTAAATCAATGTACAATAGGAAGAAATCAATGGTTGTGCCACGGGATCCCCTCCCTATGGGGAAGGTGATTAGAGTGAGTGACAGCCTTCAGCTGTACTTTGATGAATTTGAGATTTGATCTCAGCTGTCTAGTAATATTTCTGAGCTGCTTACAGAACGTAAGAAGGTGGAAGCACATTTCTTCCCCTTATCAGAAACAAATGTACAAGGTACTGACATTTGCAAGTGTTAACCAAAATCTGATTTAGCAAGATAGGCTTTTTTTTTTTTTTTAATATCTTTGATATGATTAGTCCGTAAATTGGAAAACTCTAATAAGCTGCAGTTGGCTTGAAAATTACTGAAATATTGACTTAATAATTTCACAATATTCAGATTCCCTGGTTTTTTCCTCGTACAACAGTTTGAGAACTATCTATAACTATTTTGGGAACATAATCCCTACATTCACTAGAATCAATGCCAATATTATCAGATTCCAGTATATAATTTAATTGTTGAAGGGGCAGTATAATATTCATTGAGGAGGGAGGGATGAATCCTAGAATATTAACATCCATCTTAAAAAAATAAAAGAAGAATGAGAAATGTTTTCCTTTTCTGTTACTTATGATGTTCGCTGCAAATGTAGTGTGGTGTCGCAGGACAGATGAGCTTGTTGATGGGCCTAATGCTTCACACATAACGCCAACAGCTTTAGATAGGTGGGAGGCAAGGTTGGAAGACCTTTTCCGAGGTCGTCCATTTGATATGTTTGATGCTGCTTTATCAGACACGGTTACTAAATTTCCTGTTGACATTCAGGTTAGTTTGAAGTCAAATTAAGTATCAACAAGGGAATAATTTTTTAACAATTAAATTCAGTGGCCAAATATATGTGGTTCTAGTTACTTTACAAATTTGTTTAGCACCACAACTACTTTTGAACAATCATCATTGAGAACTTGTGCCATTTCTGCATTAATGCCCAATTTTATCCTTCAAGAGTAAATATGTGAATCAAGGACCCTCAGCGCACGAATCTTCCTTTAGTTTTCACTTGTATCATTTTTATTTTCATTTTTTTCTCATTCACTTTTGAAATTGCTGAAGATGATGTATTTGAAATACGAACATAACTTTGCTCTTATAGGGATATGGATATATTTTCCTCGTACATTTCTATTTCCCTTGTCTATTTCATAATTTGGAAAAAAAAAAAAAATGAAAAAAATGTATAAATAAAGTAGCAACCTTACTTTGTTGGCGATGGACTTTATGAAGTTAGTATATGCATATGCATTTTGAAGCTGGAGTTTATAGGCAGGGCCTACAAGTTGTCACTATGTGCAGCCTATGAGTATGAGCATTCTTTTTGCAGTTTCCTTCCCAGAATTTAATGATAAATTGTTCCAAAAGACACTGCAAGCCAAACTTTTTGCACCTCAAAATTATTTTCAGTTGCACTCTTTAACCAGAATCTTAAATTTCATTTTTGGCTCTCAAAATTCCATCCCGATGATCATCAAATTGATGCAATAATGCAATTTTTCCAACTGCATTGGATTATTTATGCATTATACTAATTTTTATTGGTTCTGTAATTCTTTTGTCTCAGCCATTCAAAGATATGATTGAAGGAATGAGGCTGGACCTGAAGAAAACAAGATATAAGAACTTTGATGAGCTTTATCTTTACTGTTATTATGTTGCTGGGACGGTTGGATTGATGAGTGTTCCGGTCATGGGCATTGCACCTGAATCACAGGCACCAACTGAGAGCGTCTATAATGCTGCCTTGGCATTAGGAATAGCAAATCAGCTTACCAACATACTCAGGGATGTGGGAGAGGAGTAAGTACCGATTTTTTTCCAATAGAAATGTTAATAATGAAAAGTTGTAGAAGGCTTTTAAATGTTAAGTGTTATGGTAATGACCATAAATTAGAGACCTTAAATGTTGTTTGGTTTTTAAATTTATTCAAAACCTTTTTGGACGTTTGATACTTCATGTTTTTATGTTTGGTATAAACAAAAATGTTAAGTTCTATCTTATAATTTCAACTTTATGAAATTCAATACAACTAAATCAAATTCTGTGATTGATAAATGAAATTAATACTTCAAATTCTTTTATACCAAACAAGGGGTAAAAATCTAATTTTGGAAGAGTTCTCAAAATAAAAGATGTGATTATTCAAACGATGCACCCTTTTTCGTTCAATATTTTGAAGTAACCTTAATCTCTTTTTCACTTCCCATACGTTGCCTTCGCATTAAGGGTCAGTAAATAAATAATGGGAATCTGTTGCTGCTGTCAAAAGTCTCCCCGATGGAAGTCCTTCTAGTCAAATCTATTCTTTTATATTCTAGGACCTTGTAATATTTATTATCTTACTTTTTTATACTAATTATGGATGAGCTTTTCTCAGTGCAAGAAGAGGAAGGATTTATTTACCACAAGATGAGCTCGTGCAGGCTGGACTTTCAGATGATGACATATTTGCTGGGAAAGTGACAGATAAATGGAGAAATTTTATGAAGAGTCAAATTAAGAGGGCAAGGATGTTCTTCAATGAGGCAGAGAAAGGAGTGACCGAGTTGAGTGCCGCAAGTAGATGGCCGGTAAACAATCATAATCCTTTGTCAAATGCAAATATCATGGACCCTAAAGTCTGTTTAGATCCTGATTAAACAATAGAGAAAATAGAAATTGAGAGAACAACAAATCAAACAAATAATTAAAGGTTACAAATCAACATGCAATCGGCTTGCACTAAAACGGACCATAAAGATAATCAGTGCTGTTGGTCTTATTATCACATTCATTCATAAACCTCTAGGCTGTAGGTTTCTGTTGCTTAATGCTTGCAAATATTCAATACTGATTCATATATAGGTTATGCAAGTGTTATGCTGCCCCTTTTGAACTTTGAACTCCCATCTATGAGGCATGCATTTCGATACATGACACGACGGCACAACATCAGCACAGCAACTTGGCTATTCGTAAAAATTTAGCTCATGACATGCATGTCATATATGTGCTGGTCGTTCATGTGGAGAAGGGCGTGCTTCACATACAGCATTCTAATGTTGTCAGCTGTCAACAAAAATTCTACAGATCATAATCGAGAAACTACAACATTAGAATTCCGGAGCAAGGCTTTAAGATCATAATCAAGTTATCATATTTGGAGATTATTATTTACATATAGAAATGAAATAATATGGTGGTTTTTGAACATTGCAGGTATGGGCATCTTTAGAATTATATCAGAAAATTCTAGATGAGATAGAAGCCAATGATTACAATAACTTCACAAAGAGAGCATATGTAAGCAAAGCCAAGAAGTTAGCTTCTTTACCAATTGCATATGCAAGATCATTTGTTGGGCCATCAAGAATCTCAACTCCTTTGAGGAAGGCATAAATGTCAAATCATGAACATCATATATAGAAGAAAAGGGAAAAATACCATAATTAATTTGTATATTAGCAACTTTTGTAATGCAGCAAGTGAAAGCAAGAACAGTCAATTCAAATTTTATTTGAAGGGATGAACTGTATATATTCTGCTAGGAACTTAAAGCTTCTTGGTTTAGAGAGTGTTTAGTGTTTTAAGAGAAGACTCATCTAAGAGTCTGCTTGTGCTTTTCTACCCTCACGTAGACATGGCTGGTTAACCAAACCGGTGGTTCATGGCCTTTAAAAGTAGGAACTGAGAACGGTCTTAATCAGGCTGGTTTAATTCAATTTCGATTCAATCGGGCTGGTTTAATTCAATTTCGATTCTGTAAAATGATTCCGGTTTTGGATCCAACGCAGTTCTGGAGTTATGCATTCCTTCCCTTTTTTTTTTTTTTTTTTTTTTTTTAATGACTCCGGGTTTTGGATCCAACGAGTTACTGGAGTTTAATGCATTCCTTCCCTTTTTTTTTTTTTTTTTTTTTTTTTTTTGTTGGAATTTGAAAAACTTTTAAATTTAGTTAAATTTAATTTATTAGTAATTTTTAGAAACATTTGAAAAGGAATAAAAAATTATTAAACCTAACAAATAATTACGAATAATTTTTTTTTTTTTTTTTTTTTTTTTGGAAATTTGAAAAACTTTTAAATTTTAGTTAATTTAATTTATTAGAATTTTTAGAACATTTGAAAAGGAAAAAAAATTATTAAACCTACAAATAATTACGAATAATTAATTATAAAAAATTGTAATTTTGAATTTTCAAATTTCATTTACTTCATTGGGTTGTTAGAAAATTGAGTTGGGAAAAAAATAATCTACTATACAAATTAAAAATATTACAAATAATCAACTAAAGAATGGTTTTTTAATTTTACAAATTTCGTTGATTTGCTAAATAAACAAAATTACATACCTAAAATAAGAAAATTTAAAAAATTGTCTCCCTACATTAAATGCTTGTTTACCACAACTGTAGAAACCTAATAAGCAAGCACGCTTTCTACAATTGTAGATAAGAACTGAAAACCACATTGATTGCCTATTTCACAAGTCTAACATGCCAAGTTTTGTTAGGTATTCCAACGTATTATTATTATTATTATAATATAAAGTGCGCGGAAAAGTACAGTTTCTGTAAAAGTGATTTTACATTTCTGCCCTTAGATATATGTAATAACCTTTAGAGATCTTTTTTTTTTTTTTTTGAAAGACCTTTAGATATCCTTAAGTACATTTTTATCCTATAATGTTTTTTTTAATTCTTTTATTATTCTTTAATTAAATTTTTTTCAAAATAGTATTTTATCCACTTAATCCTTTTGTAGTTATTTAATTACATTTCTGTCTAATATCATTTTTTTTTTCACTTAACTCTTTATTATTCTTTAATTACATTCTTACCATTAATTTTATAATATATAAAATTGATGTACCATTAATTTGTATAAAAAATTATTAATGGCTAACTTTCTTTCGTTAATTTAATTTATTTCCATATTTTTTTTTCATTTTTAGACCTAATTAGTCTGGAAATGTCAGATATCTTCTCTCATAATTTGAAAATCATTAGACTTTTGAAAATTTTGATAATTCACATACATACTACTACTAATATTAAGTAAAATCAATATGTCATTAGTTGTAAATAATTATCCATTAAGTATTAATTATTAAATGTCGGATAATAATTTTTTCAAGAAAATTATAGATTGATATTATAAACTTATATAAACTCTAGCAATACTATTTTTAAAACAATGTTTATTTATTATTGTATTAATTCAATCAATAAAATAATAATATTTGATACCTTCTTTAAACCTAAGAATAATAATTTCTATATAAATTTATATTTTTATGACCTTTGTTTGTCTAAATTGATTCAAATTAAATTTTAAAGATAAAAATTTAATCAAAACTATCCATTTTCATTCAAGATTCACATTAAAAATTTTATTTTGTACATATTTACATTAAAAAATTTTAATTAAAATATTAAATAGATAAAATATTAATTTTTACTCAAAAAAATGAGTTGTAAAATTATAATGAATAAATTACTTGAAAATAAAAAATAAAACACTAATTTTGACCTTTATTATATATTTTAATGTACATATCACTTAATATAAATGTTAAAAAAAATTTCTTATTGATCTATAGTATTTCATAGTTTTCAACTAATTATGAATATATAGTTTCTTTCATGATTATCTAAATAATAAATTAATATTTTATCGAGAAAATAAATTAATGATCAAATTATTTTGATTAATAATTTTTATTAATAATTACTAAAATTTAAAATGATTACATGCTGTCAAGAAAATTATATTGTTAAAAAATTTATATTTGTCAAGAAAATTATATTGTTAAAACATTTATATTGAAGTGCCAACGAAGATAAAAACAAACATATATGGACTACGTCGTTTGGTTGAAAAGAATATATTTATATTTGTGTGATAACAAATATTCTAATAAAATCCTACTAAAAGTAGCATTATCAAATTATATGATACTATTATGGTTTCTTATACAATTACATGTATATGACAATGTCAATATATTATTCATAATGTTCTGTACAAATTAAATTATTATGTAAGAAGTCAACAAATATGAAATCATATATAAATTTTTATTTATAGAGCGTCATATTTTATTATATTATGCACAACTTTAAAAATACATTTATAAATGTATAATTTATGATAATAAACCGACGTATCGTGCCAGGTTATATGGTCGTTGGTACCTAAAAACAAAAATTATTTACTGAGATGTGTATCAATTTCTATGCGCCCATGTATAGTCTCAATTGATTGTTCTAACACTTCTGATAAAACACAGGCAAATTGTTAACTAGCCAATCTAGTGTACAAGAGGTCGTCTGAGTGCTAGATGCGTGTTTTGAAGTTAAATGACTCAGAAAATAGTTCAAGTATTGTTGTGCACCTAAGGTTGGATTCGAACATCAAATCGTCATCGTTTCTATTAAAGAAGACTTGGATAATCTTAAAAATCTAGTGGATTAAAAGTTAGATCTAGGTATTTGATATATTTTTTTATAATGTTGGTTTGTCTCTTACCTTATAGATAACATAATGGAGAATATCAAGAGGTGTTCTTGAGGGGTGGATGGAGGGGGGTTAGTGTCGAACCACTATAAATTAATCCTTATGTTTATCTTTTTTTGACTTTAAGATATTGCTTGATTGGACTTGCTCTATACACACATCTATTTTATTTTTCTGGAAATGCAAAGTTGTTCATGTTTTTTTATGTCTAAATGTGTAATAACTTTATCGTTGTGGAAGTAATAGAATATGGAACTTTTATCCACGATTTCTCCAATTCTAATTTATTCTACTATATCTTAAGAAAATCTAAATCTAAGCAGTATTTTGTGCTTTAACTTTTTAAAGATTTACGAGGAAATTCTAACTGTGATAACTTGCTCTTATAAACTTTTACTATTTCCATTACATTAGAATTTTGATCTTTGGTTTTTAAAAGTTAAATTTTTAGAAAATCCAATTCACTCTCCACTCTTGTGCTATATATCGAGACCCACACTTAGGGTTGCTGACAGTGTGAGTTGCTCACAGAGAATCTATCAAGTGTCTGTTAGTTGTGAAGTCATATCAGATTCTTTCAAATTTGTGGTGGGATGTAAAGAAAATTATCTTAACAACACAATCTTCGAACGTAGAGATTCTAAAAGTAAAGATGAATGACCATGTGAATGTGGAGCTGGCATTCTTTGAGACCAACTAACAAGCAAATATACAACAAACTAACAGATTTTGGATGGAAGCTGATTGACAAGAAAAAGTAAATTTAAAGTAATATTGATAAAATTAAAAGTATTAACTAAAATTTTCAAAAACGTCAAATTTTTATGTTTTCTTTTCTGGTGATTTAGCCTTTTATTTGATGGGTTGTAATTTTTGATAGTGACAGGGCATCAAACATTCAGGAGCATAAATGGGGGTTGAAGTCTTACTGGGGGTTGGGGTCTTACTGGGGGTTACATAGAGCATAAGACGTTTTGGCACTATAAAACAATATCCGATGCCATAATGCAATTTGGTTCCCAAGATGGCAATTAAAGTTTATGGCCCTGCAAAGGCTGCTTGCCTACAAAGGGTATTAGCTTGCTTTTTGGAAAAAGACCTCCATTTTCAAATTATAACTCTTGATCTCAAATCCGGGGACCATAAGCATCCTGACTTCCTTCTCAAACAGGTATTATTATTATTATTATTATTACTAATTTTTCTCTCCCCTTATTTGCAATAAATGAATTCCATAAAATTTTTTTATGGAATTTATTTAGAAATACATATTTTGTGTTTGAAATGAAAAAAAAATTGTAGATTTCAATTTTAAGAATTCAATTCCATGAAATTAGACATGACTAAATGAAGGCAAGCGCTTTGCGCGGGTTAATTTGTCAGTTTGTAATTTATAATTCATAATGATAGGTAATTATAACATATAAAATGTACTGATTTATTTTCGCGGATTACTTTATTATATTACCGTATTATATATCAATTATAATTTCGTTAATTTATTTAAATAATTGTAAACTTCAATCAATCCTAATAAATTTTTAGTTAGAGTTTATAATTTAAACAATTTTAAATACTATTTCTTATTCTAGATAATTCTATATAAATAAAATTCTGCAATTCAAATAATGCCCATGTGAATAATATACAGCAAAATTTTGTATAATTTAATTATTTAATGATAAAATATTTAATTTTTAAACTTAAAAAAATCCAATGAAAAAATAAAAGAAAAAAAGAAAAAAAAAATATATACCAATTAAAAAAAAGTCAAATTATCTATATATATAGATTAATAATAAAATATTTAATTTTATTTTTAAACTTAAAAAAATCCAATGAAAAAATAAAAGAAAAAAAGAAAAAAAAAATATATACCAATTAAAAAAAAGTCAAATTATCTATATATATAGAGAGAAATAATTTCAAATAGATAAAATAGTAGCAAACCTAACCGACTTATGCTTATCTACATCAAATTATCCTCTAGGTAAAGGTCTGTCATTTTTAGGGAAATTATTTTAAATACTTGGGAGAATTCATAGCTACAAATAAATTATTCTCTTGTATCGGAGTCGTTTTCATTTTGTTTGGAAACAAATTGAGAAATAAATTACCCAATAATTTTAGTATTTATATCACTATATGTATCCATGGTTTTTAACTGTAAATCCAAATTTAAACATAAATAAATAGGTGTATATAATTAACCTTTTATCCCTTTATTGTCCAATTTTTTATCTCTACAATATAAAAAACATGCAAATAGTAAAGTAAACTTTTAAATAACATAAATAATAAAATGTTATAATTTCACAAGTCAAAGCCATGATTTTACATTTTTTAAGCTAATATTTTCTAACTCTTAACTCTTTTCTAAATTCATAGTTATTATTTAGAAAGATAAATAGAAAGGCAAGAAAGGTGATAAAAAGAATACAAAATTTTGTATTCAATGAAAATCAAACTCACATTTAATCTATGTTTTAGTGAGTCACCGGTAATATTTTTTTAATACGTAAACAACCTATAATTAAAAACTGTAGTCAAAATAATTAAAGTAGCCTGTAATCAAAGAGTATGAAGGCAGCAAAATAGCAAAAAATTTTTTTAAAAAAAAACTCAATTTAAGAAAAATAGCAACAAAATAAAAACTCAATCCAGGAAGAAAAGCAAAAAAAAAAAAAAAAAAAAAAAAAATCACAATAAATCCTGCCATTAAATGAAAGCAAAAGAACAACAAATTAAAAAATATATAGTGATATAATGGTTAGAGAGAGGATAAAAAAAAAAGGAGAATTGCAAAAGCTTGAATTTGCAAAAAAAATTGTAAAAAGAAAAAAAGCTCAAAAATTTTTTGTAAAAAAAGAAAAATAGAATATTTAAAAAGTATGAGAGCCAACTCATCCTTTTTTTTTTTTTTTCGCTATATATTATATATAATATAAAGAAGAGAGAGAGAAGAGAGAGAGAGAGAAATGTGAAAAATCAAGGAAATTTTTTTTTTTTTTTTCGCTATATATATATATATATATAGAGAGAGAGAGAGAGAGAGAGAGAGATGTGAAATCAAGGAAATTTGTCTTTTTAGTTTTTCTGATCTGATTTTCCGATTTTGACCCTAGCCGTTTGGGCAAGTTCCGGTGGTAGAAGATGGCGATTTTCGACTTTTTGGTAAGATTGCTTAGTCCTTATATTTTCTTTCCATTTCTTTTCTACTTGTATGTTTATGACATATTCTTGTAATTGTCTTCTAATTAGTAGTTTTCAGGTTTTCTCACATAAAGCATCTCAGCTGAGGTAGAGCTAATTTATAACTGTGAATTATAAATGAAAAAATTTTCCTTTATACTTGATTTGAAATAAGATTTAGTCATTGTAGACAGAAAAATAAGATCACTAATAATTTTTTTATAAAAGTTTAAAAACATATATCTATTAAAAGAATAAAAATTACATCAATAAAAGTAATTTTATTAATAATAATTTTAAAATGAAGATTATATATTAATAATAAATTTTTGTTAATAATTTTGAACTATATATTAATAATTTTGAAAAATTAGAGACACAGTATTTTAAGAAATGAAATGAAGATTATAAATTACATCGAATCTTTTCATAAATTTAATATATTTATAATACTATTAATTATCAGACAAGGTTATAAAGTTTTCAAATTAGACTGGGGTTATTATAGATAATTTCATTACTCCCCTCATTATATATATATATATATATATGTTGAACTTTTTCCTTTAAAAAAATTGATAAATTGATTAATAACATTTTTCAAAAAATTAATTTGTATGGATTTAAATATACATTCATATTATTTTTTGTTTGAAGAACTTATTATTTAATTTTTTTAATTACACTCCAATTGAATCTAATGTGATATTTTATTAAAATCTTCAAATTTTAACCTTTGAATTTAAATTCATTTTAAGCTAATAAATTATGTGAGGATTAATTTTGCCAATCAAGTCTATTTGTAAAGCCTAAGGTGGCGATTTGTGGATTAAGAGGTCCAAGATTTTTGTGATTTTATTTCCACATAGATCTTCTTTCTCTGACTGTCCCTCAGTTTGATCCCTTTTAGCTGCATAATTTAACTTTTAAAATATTATCTTGAGCAATATTTTAATAAGCTTTGTTTTTTCTAGAGTATTGGGGGAGTTTCGAATTTAGAGGTCGTATATGCATTTATCACTAATCTATGCATTGATGTGCACATTTTAATCATCTTAATCCTTTTAAATAGAAGGATTTAATCAATTGATACTTGATTTAATCTTCATTTTATTGTTAATAAAATAAAATATATTAATTATTACAATATTACAAAATATATTATTTATTACTTTACATATGGTCCTGTTAATTTTTCTGTTGCTAAAAATTACTACTAATAGTAATAATTCCAATGTAGCTTGTTTGTGCTTATTTTATTCACTTTCCAAGTAGAATCGAGGGCAATTTTGAGGTACTATGCAGCCAAATATGCAGACAGAGGGCCAAACCTACTGGGCAAAACCCTAGAAGATAAAGCTTTAGTAGATCAATGGCTTGAAGTCGAAGCACACAACTTCAACGACCTGGTCTACAATATTGTGCTTCAACTTGTCGTCTTTCCTCAGATGGGGCAAGCTGGAGACCCAAAGGTAGTGCAGAACTGCGAGCAAAAGCTGGAGGAAGTATTAGACATATACGAGCAAAGATTGGCGACGAGCAAATATCTTGCCGGAGATTATTTCAGTCTTGCTGATTTAAGCCATATGCCTGCAATTAGATACCTTGTGGATGAAGTTGGGAAAGGGCATTTGGTGAGAGAGAGGAAGAAGGTTAATGGCTGGTGGGAAGATATCTCAAGCCGTCCTGCTTGGAAGAAATTAATGGAGCTTTGTGGTTACTGATTAATAATTACTTTCTATGTTGTATTGTTAGTTTATTACTACTATTACTATTAAACTTCGTCCTGTAATCTTAGTTTATTACTACTATTACTATTAAACTTCGTCCTGTAATCGCGTATTTGTGTTGATTTAATTTAAATAATTTTAATTAAATGATAAAAGGTAAAATTATGTGTTCTTTTTAAAAGCATTAAACTGAAATATTTATTATTATAATAAATTATTGTAGTTTAGTTAATATTATTTTTTTCTTTTTGAAATTATCATATATTCAATTGAAATGCTTATTAATTTATTAATCTTTTATAATTAAATGAGGTATAAAAAGATTTAATTGTGGTGTAATAGATTGAAATTCTATTAGTTTACCACATTATTCTAACTCCATTATCTAATTAATGTTTATTAATTATAACTACATTAGATTCTATAAGTTTGTAATTCTATTATTTAATAAAAAAATTTAGTAATATTTATTAAATGTTAACTCCATTAGATCCTATTAATTAGCTTATAACTACCATCATTTAATAAAAAAAATTTTAATATTTACTAAACATAAAAAAAATATTAATTACAATGAAAAATAAAATAAAATGTCACATCCTTATTTTAATATTTTAATATGTTGTCATATCATCATCAATGTTTTAGAAACCATATATATATATATTTTAAGGTTTAAATGCTTATGTTGCAACATATTAGAATATTAAATTGATGATATGATATTTTATTTTTTTATTATAATTAATATTTTTTTCATTTAATAAAAATTAATTTTTTATAAAATGATGGAGTTACAAGCTAATAAATTTAATGGATGATTTCATTATAATTAATATTTTTTGCATTTAATAAATATTGAGTTTTGTATAAAATAGTTTTTATCTATAAAAAAACTATATTATTGATGATATGAATATTTTATTTTTTTAGTTATAATTACATATTTTTTTCATTTAATAAAAATTAAATTTTTAATAAAATGATGGAGTTACAAGCTAAAAATTTAATGGATGGATTTCAATGTGTAATTAATATTTTTTGCATTTTAATAAATTATTTGATTTTGTATAAAATAAGTTTTTTATCTATACAAAAAACTAGATGGAGTTATAAAAATAGAGCTATAAATTAATAAAATGAATTAAATAGTCATTATAATTAATATTTTTTGCATTTAATAAATATTGAGTTTTGTATAAAATAGTTTTTATCTATAAAAAAACTAATGGAGTTATAATAGAGCTATAATTAATAAAAATGAATTAAATAGTATAGTTACATTAACAAATAGAATTAAAATATTAATTTCAATTCACTAAAATTTTATTTCATTAAAATTAAACATTCTTATACCTCATCTAATTTGAATATATGAGAATTTTAAAGAGAAAAAAATTTAATTAATTAACTATATCAATTGAATTAAAATAATTTACTTATAATGATTAATTGTGTTAATTAATATTTCAGTTCATTACTTGAGAATTTCAAAAACAAAAAGCTTATAATTTTAATTGAAAATAAATAAGTAAATTATTTAAATTAAAGCAACATAAATATAAGTTACAATAATTTTCTTGAAAATTAAATTCAATTTAATTTAAAAAATATAAAATTATACAGTCCGCACATCGCGCAAGCACATGACTAGTTTATATAGATACTAGTAGTGTCTTGATCCATGTTCCTTAGATTTTGAAATTGATAATTTAATTTTCTTTATATTTTTATTATATTTAGTTTTGATTTCTGTATTATTTTTATTCGTAGTTGGAATTAAGCTTATAAATTTAATATTGTAAAATATTAATATAGATTAATATTTTTTATAGATATTTTTTAATTACAATTTTTAGTTGGTTTAGTATTTATTTTCTACTTATTTATTCTATATATATGGCCCCTTTGTAGTTTGAATTGCTCTGAAACAAATTTTTATTTTGTATTCAACTTGTTAGGAGTAGGTTTTGGCTTTCCCTTTCTCTAATAATAAGCTTTCAAACAAAGCTCCTTCCTTTAGCTGGTGCGTAGGAGCGCACTTCTGTTTTCCCCTTACTATACAAGGGGATGTAATGAATAGAGATCTCCCACAAATAGTCTTCTCTTCTTATCACCTCAATTTGCTCGAGTGATTTGATCTCATTGCACCTCACCGGCAGGGGAAGGAATGGATGGTCCGAGAGAGGGCTCGTACCCTCCCCCCCCTCTTCCTCTTCCCCACGCCTATTTGTTCCATCGGCCCAGCAGTGGAGCTTGACCCTCGCCCTACGCCGATTGAGATCTTTCCTTATACAGGTAAATTTAGCTATGGAGGGAATACCCCGATTTATCGGAACTTCAACCAAAAGAGGTAGACTTGGGTTCCTGGTATAGGTATAAGAAAGCCAATACAACTGAAATATTTTTTGTATTCCACCTTCAATCTCACCCACTCTTGATTTACAAAGAAGATGGTCGTTTTTCTGCTCCTCTGCTCTTCATCGATTTCTTTATATGTGCATGGATCAACTTCACTATACCTTGTGTTATAATCATAGCACAAGCAAATGCACCTAACTACCAATAAAGTTCGTCAATTTCAATGCCCACCACCTTCATTTCTATTAACATAATCAAGGCTTCGTTTACCATTCCTTACCTTGCATACCTATTAACTATTACACTATAAGAAACCAGACTTTTTTCAATACTTTCATCGAACACCTTTCTAAAGAATGGTAAGGAATGGTACTAGTTAATGAAGATTGCATGTAAGGACTTAATCTAAACCGTGATCACAATATTTACACATGAATATGCTTATCTTTTTTAAGGCCATGTTTGGTATGATATAATCAACCATGGAATGGAGTGAGAATTACATTACATGACTGATTACACTGTTTGGTTAGACTTTTTTTTTAATAGTGTAATGTAATTGAGATTGCATGTGTAATCTTTATTATTTAAATTGATGTAGTATTATTACATAAAAAAATATAGTATTGTTCATTATATCAATCAAATGTAATATCAAGTACATTAAGCCATCCTAATCAAAACTTTATCATTCAAGGTTATTTGACACTACTGCTTCACCACCACCACAACCACCGTTCCACCACCATCATAATCATCACCTCAACCACCACCACCGCTCTGCCACCGCCACCAACACCACCACTGCTCCACCTCAACCACCATCATTGTTGCCGCTCTACCATTACCATCATCATTACTGCCCCATCGTCACCGCCACCACCGATTAACATGATGGTGGTGGTGGTGGTGGTGGAGTGATTTATCGTGATGGTGGTGGTGGTGATGTTATGCTAGTTACATTAGATATCTATAAATAAACATAAAAATAAAATGGTGATTACATTTCATAAATTTTCTCAATTACCAAATATAATAATAGAATCTTAATTACATTGCATTACATCAAACCAAAGTGTCATTATATTCGATCAATATATAATCATTTCAATCTAGACACAAGATGTTTCTAGCTAGTTGCTGCTATAAAAGAAAGAGAAAAAAGAAAAAAAAATCAAAAATAAAAATGAAGAAAAGTAAATCACGTTGATCTATATCTACACTATATATAAAAGTGAGAATATGAGAGTAATAATAAGATTCTCGATAGCGCCATTGATGAAATTTGAATATCCTAAAATAATTTTAGTCATGACCAATTAGAAAATTATATGTTATTAGTTGATTGGGTATAATTTATTAAACTTATTTTTAAAATAAATACATATAAATAATTAAGTATTTCAAAATTTTAAGTTTTAACTTTTTAAAAATTTATTTTTAATAAATGTATATGAGACATTTGAAATTTTTATATTTTATTTTTTAAAATTTATTTTTAAATATTTTATTAAGGAGAGAGATTTAAAAAAAAGAAGAAAGTATATTTTTTATAATATTCTTTTTTTCTTTATTTTTGTATAATTTGATTGGATATATATTTAAAAAAAAAAAACATTTTCAAGTAGAACATATATAATTTGGCCTTTTAAAATTTTAAAATTTTTACATTTTATAATTTATTTTTAAATAAAATGAACATGTGCGTGTATTGGATTGCGAATAATTGAAAATTTTAATTTTAAATATATATATAACATTTTATTATTACATCTATATATTTATGCATTGAAACATATTTATTAGGTAAAATTATAGAATTATACATATACAGTTATAATTTTAGATAAATGACGATAGAAATTTAATTGAAGTGTGTGTATAAACGTACTGTTGTTTTATTAATTAACCATTATATTTACATTAATCACATATAAAATTTTGTTTTAACATTATAAAAATCTAAATAATATAAGACAAAAATTATAATCAATATTTAATATTAAAAATAAAAATGAGTATAAATAACAATATTAATTAAGCATTATATTTTACTTAATTCACATATAAAAATTTTGTTTTAACATTATAAAAATCTAAATAATATAAAGACGAAAAAATTTAATATAAGACAAAAATTATAATCAATATTTAATATTAAAAATAAAAATGAGTATAAATAACAAGTGAGCAATAACATAAAAAATTGAATGAGTACGAATAACGAGTATAGTCAACGTACAACGCACGTCATAAATAACTAGTATAGTAAAAGAGAAAGGAAACTTAAAGGCCTAATACTAATATTAAAATTAAGTTGAACTTTATTCCTAAGATCATAAATCTAACTCTTATTATATAAAGTGTATAATAACTACAATATAATGAAGACAATGGCTTTTACTACTGTACATATAGTAATTATTTTGTATTGATAGATATTTATAGAAACATGTTGCAATAGATTTCTCGACATGTTATCTGCTTCTTATCTATATATTTTCTAACTTTATCATTTGTTTTCTTCCGATTTGTCTTGTATCCTCTCACCTATTATATATAATACATCTCACCTATTATATAATAATACATATATATATATATTATATATATATATATATATATAAATATATTAGTATAATAATATTTTATAATAAAAATTAAAAACAATTTTTCCTTTCTCAATTTCCTAAATCTCAATTTAATATAAAAATTAAAAACATTTTCTTTTCTCATTCCTAAATCTCATGATAAATATACAATTATCTATAAAAAAATATTAGAATTCAAATTTCATTTACATAAACATTTT